CGCCAGGATGCCGTTGCTTGGCCTTCTGTCGGACTGATTTCATGGAGGCGTTGAAGGAGAACAGGCGCATCCAACCTTGTTGGATGACGGCAAAGCATTCGTTCCAGTTGCGGTCTTTAGCCCTCTTATCTACCGAGTCCAAGTGATGCTTGTGCTTAAGGCTTCCTTCCTTGGCCCAAGGGGCGCCCGCAAGCTGTAGAGTCTCATCTTCCAGGAGAGGCGTATTCCGCTCGGCGTCTTCAAAGCTGGCTATCGAATGTGCCGAGTCTTCACGTATAATTGCCTGACTCAAGGCATTGGCAAAGCCAATCGATTGTTGATAATCCCCACGTGGGTAATCCGAGCCAAAAGAATCCACCGACGCAGAGGTCAACTTCCCAGAAGAATACTTGCTCCACGTACTGGATGCCGATGGGCTCCAGAGGGAAGACTGGTCATCCAAGCTGGTCCGGCTAGAGCCCATCGTAGAAGGGGGATACAGCCTGGCTCGAGATCGGGGCTTCGAAGACCAGCGTGCCGTTCCATAACGGGAATCGGCAGAGCGGCCGCGTGGATAGATATCGGAGCCACTTTTACTGACTGTACTCGGACTCCTGCGGAGCCCACCAGGGTGAGGTCCCAGTAGATTGTTCGAGGACGAACGTGTCGGCTCTTTTTCCACTGGGGCACCATGCAACGGGAGTTTCTGCTTCTGAATCGACGTGTAAAAGTCTCGTAGCACCATTTCCACTTGTTGCTCCCACGCTCGCATTGTGCCGGTAAACGGGGTATTGACGAGGGGGCCGGTGTCACTGTCAGGGTCACTTATCATTTTGGCCGAGAGATCCGTCCGTGAGAGTCGATTTACCAACTTGGTAGGGCCATTGGTCGGCTTATCAGCAGTTGGAGCTTTTCGTTCGAGGTCGTCAGTGGTAGCAGATCTGGAATTCGAGGCCAGGGACGGCGGATCTTGTGATAGGGATTTTGACTTGTTGGCGTCGCGTTGGTCAAAGCCGTCCGGCGCAGCATCCGCCGCCACTCGATGAATTGTCGGCATAGTGTTTCGGACAAATTGGGCCTTCGTCATCTTCTGCTCGATATCGGCAAGGTGCAGGTCGGTATTCAGCAGGAGAAGCGAGTAACAAATGGTGTGCACAACATCTGTAGAGCAGTTAGATCGAAAGCTATCAAGCAGTGAGACAGGGTTAAAGGCGTGGACAAACCAGAAGCTTTGAAGCTATGACGTGGGTTGCACTCGCACCACCGGGTGGAAAAGGCATCCAAGACTCGGTCCACTTGTTGGGTTTCTCCTTTCAACACCAAACGGTTACACAGACTTCGAAGGGCTGCCAGGATGTTCAGATTGGCCCAGTCAAAGAGATCCATGTACGCCTTGCGGACGAAGGCTCGGTCCGGATCGCCCAGCCAAGCCGCAGCCGGCTCGTTTCCTACGACTTGATCCTGGCTATCAAAGAGCATCTGCGCTTGTTCTTTGTCCGAAATAGTCGGCTCGCTAGCCGGGATGTCATCCGGGCTAGTCTCCGCAAGATCGGCAAGCTTTGGCTCCGTTGGCCCCATGGCGGCACTCTCAGATGCCGTGTAGTAATTCGACATTTCCGAAATCGAAGCCCGTGGCGAGCCACCCGGACCATTGGCAGGGGTAGAGAATCGGCTCGTGCCATCAACAATCTCATCTTTGGGTACGTCAGAGGTGGGTATCTCCTTGGACTCTTCTGGGACATCCTCAGCACTGTGAGTGGGGCTCGCGCTCATTTGAGAGAAGCTCTCCATGACGGGCGAAAGCGAGGAAATAACAGTCTCCTGTGGCTTCAAGCCGCCTGGTAAAGCAAAGACCTGGTCTTTATCCACGGAGTCCAAATCACTGCCGCGCGAGCTCACGCCATCGCGTGATGCTCTTGAAGCTGGTGGGCGGTCAACAGGAGCGATGGGATCCTGACCATTAGACTTAGATCCGGACTCTTCATCTCCACTACTATTTCTTAAAAATGTAGCCTCATGATTATTCGCGGATGAGACTGCGGGATATAAACTGTATTTGGCCTTGGGGGCACCGGAGGTTGTAAGGAGGCTGCCTCGCGGACTGTGCGTTGACGTGGTTCCTGGATTCTTGGCTTCCGCATCTTCTGCCGCCGCCGCACGGGACTGCGAGGGCTTGTTGGCATGGTCCGGCCCAGATGCAGTCGAATCCGTGATATACGGGTTCATCACTTTTTTCAGACTACTGACCGGACTAGGCTCGGGCTTCATAATTTCCATCGCCCTGGAGCCTGACAGCTCCGGAGGAAGCACGATCGGAGGCGGGGCACTTTCAGCCACGGACTTCTTCCGCCGGCGGAAGAAGGACGACTTTTTGGTCACCACTTGATGGCTTCCATCGCGGCCCGAATTGAGCCCTGTCCCACTGTGCTTCAGCGGCTGTCTCCAGCTCTTGACATCCTTGGTCTCGAACTCTTGGGCGGAATGGGAATCGGATTGACTGTAATCGGACGGTCCGAATGTGGGGGCTTTAGAGCCAAAGACTCGACGAAAGAATCCCGGTCGTTCCTTGGCCGGCGCTGGCTCAGGCGGCGGGGGAAATATTGGTTTGTTGAAGGAGATGGTTGGGCTGGGCGCGGGCGGGTCAAGTGAGGAGGGGATTGTAGGCGGAAGCTCTAAGCCTGCCTCGCCCAGATTCGCCAGGTCGAGATCCCGGCTCCGGATGGTGGCCGTGCCAATGTTCTCCGGGCGAGACTTGCGGGTGGTATTCGCACGCGGAGATTTGATACTGTTCCGTCGGGAGGCCACCGGCGTCCGTGACTGCTGCAGGCTGAGCGAACCTGCATAGTCCCCTTGCGAAGATGGGTGGTTTTTACTGGGGCCTCCGGGAATACTTGGCGTAGGAGCTGCGTCAAAGTCGCTGAAGGACCAGGAACCGTAGTCGGCAACCGGTTCGGAAAAGGGGATGAAAGGTGGCCGAGTACCGAAGTCGAAGCTCGCCGAACGTCTCTCGCCAGTTGAATCCGCTCGGCGACGTAACAGAGGCGGACCAAAGTCTAACTGGGAGGAAGCACTTCCTTTGCTCCCATTCCTCGCAGTATGAGCCCCTGTCGCTGCCGTAGAACTCGGCCGGTAGTCATATAGCTGGCCGCGTGAGCCGGTGCCTTCCCGGCTGCGCGTGCTCCCAAATCTTCTCAGGCTCGAATGGTAATTCGAGCTGCTATTACTCCGACGACCTCTCGGGAGTTGGGACGCATGGCGGGCCGTGCCGTCGTCAAAGGTGCCGTCTACCTCTGACGATAGGGAGGATGAAAATGTGTGTCCGCGATAACGTCGTTGGGCCAACGATTCCGGTGAACCGTGGCCGTAGAGGTCCGTTTCGAATACCGAATTGAATAACCTGTAGTCATCCAGCACAGAGGAACCCGCCACGAACTGGTCTAGGGATAGGAGCATATTATCGACGATGGAGGTGCGGGCCGCATGCTTCGGAGACAGCGATAGGTCGTGGGGATCTCGCTCGTCACAAGACTCATTGTTCTCGTTGGTGTTGTCGGCTGGATTGAAGTCATCTAGGAAGGTCTCTCGGACAGAGGGTCGCGGATGAGTCCCTCTCCTTGTAGGCTTCCCATTGACAGCTTCGGAGGGGGGTGTTCGAGGGGGGGACCGGCCGGCGTGCTGCTGAGGCATTTTGAGACTGCCCTGTGGTCAATGGTAACCAAGGACGTCTGGCATTCGTTGTAGTGAACGGAATGAGTGAAGAGAAGGGGGTTGAGCCTTAGGGATATTGGTCGCCAAGTCCCTGGGCACCGTTGGCCATGGACGATCTCAACCAGCAGGTAGTTGAGACGATTGTCCACTTGTCGTGCACACCGTCCTGCGTCAATCGAGAGAGGAAGGGGGTTTGGGGGCCGGTTGATAGAATCGCGTGCTCAGGACCGGTTCTGAGCTTCACAGAAGTCGAACAGACCGTCTTCAAGGCGCAGTCAAGGGTGGTGTGTATCACCTGTCGCACATTGCGTGAGGGGGAGGGGGGGAAAGGGAAATTTCGAAGTGTAAGGGGGGTAAGTCGATTGATCAAACCGACGTCCTGATGGGAGGATTGCTGTAATCTTTTTTGCGGTAAGGCAGATTAGCCAGAGATTCAATGAGGAAGATAGACAGAAGGCGATCCAGGAAAGTTAGAGGCGAACCACCGGCAGAAAGACGCACAGGAAAGGTACGGTCGAGTGTTGAAGCGGGAACCGACCGGTGACGATCGTGGGTCGCCACGATGAGAGAAGGAGGGAGTGCAAAGAGTGTGCAGTGTGTAGTGTAAATGAGAGAGAGAGAAAGGTGGAAAGGAAAGGAGGGTAGCGATTGAAACGCTTCAGGGAATTTTGGCGCAATTGAAGAGGGACAAAAATTGGAAATGAATTGAATGAATGCCTGGAGCAGCCCCCGGACTTGCAGATGGAAATGCGCCCAGGAACGAACGGCGGCCGAAGTGGGATCACCGGAGAAGGAGGAGGACAGCACAAAGTTGTACACTACTCCCTTAGCAGCAAAATAAAAAAGCATGGACAGAAGCAGACGTTTAGTCCGTTGGAGTGGTTCAGGGATGGACCATCTGCCATCGTCCACCTTCCAGACTAGTTCCAGTAGCGTTCACTAGTTACGGGTCTAGAGTCCGTCGCGATAATCAAAAGAGTCAGTTTCTCAGGGGCATGCATCCGAGTTCCTGCAGGTTCAATATCTCTCCAGCTTGCGAGTTCAGTCTCCCTTTTGCCTCCCTAACTCACATCAAACTATCTACGTATTGTATCTTCCAAAGTGGATGCTGACAAGTTTGGATCAGAACTACTACTGTACAGTAGTATCAGAAGGGACGATCCAGGAGTGTCTTGCAGCTTGCATGGTTCCATTTGGGGGAGGGTCCTTGGCTATTCCCAGTTCCAGTGAATTGACTGCCATCAAGTGGATCCAGTTACTCCGTATTCCTCAATTCCTATTGGATCAAGTGGAAACGGGCCGTCATGCACCCCCCGATCGATAATATCTATCATTTCATACGAAACTGATCCTGTCCAGTCCATGCTCCAGTCTTTCGTGACCCATCGTAGAGCTCCATCGCACCCAAGGTAGGGCAACGACCGAATTTGTCAGTATGCTGGAGATGGATCAAATTCGATCCAACGATGGCTTTTGCGATCAGGCCAGCCTGAGGGGTCTGCATCATTTTCCCACCATGCATCATCTATCTATCATTTTTCTTCCCTCGTTGCCGGAGATTTACTCACGCTGGCTGAACTGCATCTACAGTCTCCATATCCAGGCACATACATACAGGGTGGTGGTCATGCCCACCTTCCGGGGCCCGGAGCTGGGGCATTCTGTCGCCCGAATGTCAGTCAAATGTAAGCCATGCATGAGAAAAATAAATTAAGGAGCTGCTCCTGTCCTCAACAGGCAACCCTCGCAATGTGATACATCGCCGTTTCCTGACGGTTCTAGTGCCGCCACGCACTTGATACACCGGCGTTCACGGACGATCTCCTACAGGGATGGCATGGCTTCCATGTTTCATCCGCCAACCAGCCAGCCAGCAAGCAAACAAGCCAGCAGATAGACTAGACTAGACTAGACTAGATGTTACCTAGATAGAATATCCACCCTCCGACAATCCAAACTGTAATTTATTTTTTGGGGGTTTCTGATGATTCTGCCGCCATCCACCGATCGGACTGTCGGGGAAGAATTGATCCGGGAGCTGGGCCGAAGAGGCTGATGACATAACCCAACGGCCACTCCATCATCAACAAGCAAAGCAATCAATCAATCAATCAATCAATCACTCTATTCGCTAATAGATCGTAATTCCAACCCCCCATCCACCACCACCTCAATCAACAAACTATCCCCCCTGGGTCCGATAGAGGTCGTGGGTACATGACAACCGTGCCTCTACTTCCCATGTCCGAAAACCTGGGGTTTCCCTCAACCACTCGTTGAAGATGAATCCTCACATCTCCGTCCCCCGCCAACATGCCAGCCCGGCCAGCTTCGGCGGTACCACCCCAGCAAGCCGCGGGTCTAGTATCCGCATGCCGCGATTCTTCAAGAGGTAGGCTAATTCTCCCCCTCTGGGGATGAATGGAACAGCATGATACGTCTATCAAAGGGACAACCATGGCCTTTTCCGATTCTCATCGACCGGTTACTGATGCCCCTGGCTGGCTTACAGGCTGTTCAAGTTCCCGCAAATGGACTTCGAGATGGCTATCTGGGAGATGACGTCTTTGTTGATTGCGCCGAAGAAGGTCTTCAAATCAATCTATTACCATGTGAGTTGATGCCGGCGCCCTGCTCCATAGCGCGCATCCGGTTATGCTGACCCAAGCTTCACCGCAGAAACGTATGTCATTGCCCCCAACACCGCACCTTGCCGATATGGCCCGCTTTCCCCGGGATCTGACACACGCTCATCAATACCTATATTAATAACCTCGTACAGAAACGAAAAACACCTGGCACCGTCCGGACCCTTCATTTACCTACCTCCTATCCTTCTTCCTTCTGCTTACCGCCCTCGCGTGGGGACTCGCCTATGCGCCCTCCTTCGGCTCCATTGTCCGGCTCTCGTTAATCTTCATCTTTGTGCACTTCATCGGCTCGTCCTTGCTGGTCTCGACAGTCGGGTACTTCGCGATCCCGCGGTTGTTCGGGCCCGATGGCGCAGCCGCATCGCTGACGGGATTCCGCGGCGGGCGTGGACGGAGACGCGGCGCAGCGCAAGGCCTATTCACGCAGCCGGGAGAGAAGGACCAGCTTGAATTCGGATACTGCTTTGATGTAAGTGACACTCCTAGAGCATACTGGCGAGTGGCAGCACCGGCTAATCGCAGACACTAGGTATCGAATCGAGCATTCTTTCCTCTGTATCTGCATCTTTACGTGGTCCAGTTCCTGGTCCTCCCGCTGCTCCAGCGCAGCCCCAGCAACGCCCTGGCTACCTTCCTTGGAAACACACTTTACCTGTCGGCCGTAACCTACTACACCTACATCACGTTCCTCGGATACAATGCGCTTCCGTTTCTGCACAACACGGAGCTTCTGCTGCTCCCCATCCTGGCATTTGCGGTGCTGTGGCTGGTGAGCTTGATTGCGGGATGGGGGATAGTGGCGCAAGGCCACGGGGTGGAAGGACTGTTCTGGGGTGCATGATGCATGATTGTTCCCCGCACATGACATGTTATACACACCTGTTCTACCCATTCTTGTGCGAGTAATTTGTCATTTCCGTTTCGGCGCCGGTGTATATGGTGATCTTTGGTCTATTTTTATGTCTGTTCTGTCCGTTCAGGGAATGGGTTCGGGAGCATAATGATTGCATAGGTTCGTTTCTGGTGGTCTCCTTTTATACTCTGCTCCACATGAGAGCAGGCAAAAGACATATGGTTCATACTGTACAGCATAGCTGGGTTATATAGCGTCTATCATAGACTCATTTCTGCTACTGTTACTCCCACAATACCCCCTTCTCTTATTCCACGAAAATAGATACTCGGAATTTATCCAATTGCACAGGCATCAAGCCAAAACCAACTCAATAAGTAACCAAATCTAAAAAACCAAATAAAACCCCATCAATTCATTTCCCCTTCTTCCCCTTCTTCCCACCCCCCTTAGCCCCCAACTTCGCCTTCAACTCCTCCGCCCTCTTTCTCGCCGCTTCAGCCTTCTCCTCCTTCTCGACCTCCTTCCTCAACCGCTCCTGCTCCCTCTTCTCCCTCACGAGCGCCAACCGCGCCAAATCCGCCCTCGCCTCCTCCGTCTTCCCCTCCGCATGCAACTTCATATACCGCTCCCTGGCCTGCTGCGCCTCAATAGCTTCCCTCTCCCGTCGCGAAAGCTGCGACAGATCCTGTTGATCCTTGCCAGCACCAGCACCGGCACCAGCACCACCAGCCGCATTACTACTACTCAACTGAGACCGAGATTTACTCGTATGGTTCGGGTTCGCGGGTAGATCCTCCTCCTCGCCATCCGATCCGTCAGAGTTGTCCTCCTCATCCGATGAGGACGGGGGTAAATCGCCCGGTTGCGCGGCGGTTTGGAGTCGCCGGGCTTGCGCAGCTTGCTTTTTGGCTTTGGCTGCGGCGCGGCGCTCTTCACGGGTGAGTTCGGGGGCTGCTGCTGAGGCGGTAGAGTCTGCTGTGGGTGGGATAGAGGAAGGGCCGGGTTTTGAGGAGGAGGGGGTGGTGTTGTCGTCTTCAGAGGAGTCCGAGTCTGACTCGGATGTGCTGCCTTCTTCTTCTTCGTCTTCGTCTATTGATGAGGGGACATCCTCGTCTGCGTCCTGTGTTTTGTTTAGGCCTTCTGGTTAGGAGGAATTTCTTCTTGCAGGAGGGGGAGGTGCGTACCCGCCATAGTCCAACAGGGTTACCGTCCTTGTCAACGGGTTGGACGTCTCGACTGAAGCGTTTTCCGCCTGTGTGTATGGTTAGTTGGTCCTGGGGAGTTGGGGTTTGTGGTGGCCCTGAAGGTTTTAAAAACGTACCTCCGCGAGAGGGCTTGGAGAACTTTCCGCGACCGCGGGGAGCCATGATGTATGCTGGGTGGGGAGTAGGGCGAGTAGATGGGGTTCAGAGTCGAGGAGAGGAGTCAAGGTTGGATAGGGTTTATTTTTCCCCCTGCTGGCAAAGAGAATCTGGAGTCAGCGAGGAGAGGGTTGAGCGATGAAGAAGAAGAGAGGGATGGAGGAGTCAAACAAAGGCATTCATTCTCGGAGGGGCTGCGGCGGGGAAGTACCACCAGATCGACCGACACTTACGCGATCCAGTGCAGAGAAGCTGCGCCAAATAATAACTACTAGTACTTTGTACTCCAGTTGGAGACTGAACTGTGGAATGAGATTTCAATGGACTTTCTGGTCTCTGGTTACAAATATTGAGAAAACCACACCCTAAATCCTAACTTATTGTACAAAAACAGCTCTGAGTCACGCCGCCAGTAGCCCAGAACAGGCGGGGGAGCCTGACTAAGGCGCGGGCGTTCATTGGTGTCATATTTAACATGGTTATTCTAGTTAATACACTTTTATTTACTGCTTCACTGCAATTGTCTACTGTATGTACAGTTGGCTCAGCTTCAAGTACTGCTCACCCACCGCGGCAGTCATCCTGGCTACGCTCGTTGCCAGGTCAGCCCCAGCTTCGTCACTCTCGCCGCAATCAAGGTCAGCGTCCCCGCCAGAATCGCACTGCCCATGAACATCTGCGCATACAGATATTGCCCATCATCCCGATCGACCAGTGCCCCGGCAATGGGGGTACCGATCAGCGCAGCCACAGCCACTACACTGAGCACCATGCCCATTCTCACTCCGGTCTTCTTCAGATCCGTGGTAAGCGTGCTCAGGGTGGCCGGGAAGAGCGACTGGATTCCTGCTGCTGCCAACCCATAGAACGCACTGAAGGCATACATCTCGTTGTAAGTGTGAACCGCAGCCCAGCAGAACGCGACCACTCCTGTCACCAGGCTGAACGGGATCAACATGTTCAACGGTCCCGTGTACCGATCGGCCATCAGGTTGGGAATCAACCGGCCCAGCAGACCGACACCATTCATGACTAAAAGGACGTCGATCGACGTCGAGTTGGAGACCCCGATGATGTTGCGGGCGAAGCTCCCGATGTAGAAGAACCCGACATAGAGGCCCCAGAAGTTGAGGAACATCCCCAAGGCGAACAAAGCATAGGGCGCCTCTTTGAACGCCCCCCATTCGACGAGGGGTCCGCTGCGACGCGGAGGCAGTCGTTGCTGAAGAAACACCAGGCACGGAATCAGCGTCGCCAAAGAGATGAACCCCAGGGTCCGCATGGTCCAGCCATATCCGATTTGAGGGAGGAGTCGCATGACCACCGCCGGGAAAACCAGGCCGCCGGTGGCAGAGCCCGAGGCCACAATTCCGATCGCAATCGCTCGGTTTTTGGTAAAGTAAGTCGGCATCAGCGCAATGGTCGGGCAGAACATCAGTCCACAACCGATGCCCTGACCAACGCCCTGAGCCAGGAACAGCTGCCAATACTGCGTGCACAGGGAGGTCATAAAGATGCAAAATAACTCCAGGACAGCCCCAATGGTCAGGATGGCTTTGAAATAGCCGGCGTCGGTTGCGCGTCCAGAGAAGGTGCCGACGAAGAAGAGTAAGAAGATCTGGATACTGCCTACCCAGGAGATATCGGACGGGGTGCGACCTAGCGTCTCGGTATAGTAGGTTTGGAACACACCAAAACTATTGATGTAGCCCCAGGTGTTGAAGATGACGAAATGAGCCAAGGCTACTTGAGACCATGCCTTGAAGCCACCATCGGGGGGAGGTCCCAGGTCCCTTCCAGACTCTCGGGTGCGGACTAGGGTCAAGGTTCTACTGGCCAGTGCGCCAACATGGCTAACATTCGTCGGGGTTTTCGACAATTCCTTTTGTGCTTCGGGGCCAAGGCCTACTTCTTCATCACCCTTCTCATTCCCTAGCGGAAGGAATTGTTCAGGAACGGGAGAGTTGGCAGCCTGACTGGGTCCACTTTTCTCCTCATTTGCGGAGATGGTCAAGTCTTGCTGGGTATCATGCGATGATCTAGCGGACATCTTGAGGGAACGTATACCCCGAAGGGATATCACAGATTTTCGAAAAGTTTTTTTTATGTCTGGGAGTCTCGTGTATATCAAAGGGTGATGTTTCCTGGTAAATGAAAGCAGGTAGACTAGTAGTTAAGAGACGAGCCAGCCACTCTGCGAGGCACCCTGCTTCTTTATTAATTATTTGGCTTACACACGACCAGATGGGCTGGGCAAGGACACTCTGGATTGTGGAAGCAATCAGTCGAAGTGATGGCGCGCACCTGACTGATCAACGAGAAGTGGGAATGGGATCGGAAACAGAAAGGGGATAGAGAAAGAAAACGGTCAAGGATCAGGCACTATGAAGTATGCATCGATGCCCCAGCTATCGACTTGATAGAGATCAAGCGAGTTGATATGTGCGTATGACTCAAGGCGCGTCTAGCAGACGGCATCGGCGGCAATTGGTTATAGCAGCGTTGGAAGCGTCTTCCTGCCAAGGACCTTTTCGAGGATCAGCCCTGTTAGGGAATGAGATAGATAAAGGAACGACGGTTAGGCTGCGTGAGTCAGGAAGCGAAGTAAGACTAGAAAATTAGGAGCTAGGGCTTGAACGGCTCGCAAAGAAGACCGAAAGCCAACCGCCATGATGGCGGGGAAGTAAGGTCGGCAATGCTGTGCCGAATCGGCTAAAGAACGAGGACGATCAGTTTGGGATCCAACAGGAAGCGACACCCGGAATACATTGGCGATAGTTAGGCCTTGGTTACTTCGACGCCCTATTGTCATGGTGCACCACGGTCCCAAAACCCGGGGGCTCCAGGATTCTTGCTTGGGATTGGGGAAATTTGGCAGGTGGATCCCCTCCCCACCATTGAGCTATTTTACTAGCTGGTTGGGGGAGGGGGAATAATACCATTGCCGATGTGATGGGTCATCCCTGGACAGAGGAACAATTCAGGAAGAGTTGCCAAAGGATTGGAGAAGAAATAAGAGGCGCGGGGGGAAGAGAAAGAATAAAGAAGATAAATTGCCGATACAGTCCGGCTTCTTAGTTACTCTTCCATACTTTCCTTTCTTTAAGTATTATGTATGTTAAGCATATTCTCCGAATAATACGAAGGCACGTGCGGCGGACTTCTGCCCGGCTTTCATTTTTTTTTTTTTTTTTTTTTTCCTACTCGAACAACGTCATTGAAGTACGAACTACCAGAAAGAAGCCCCCCTGTCCTGCACTATATTTCCTCAATGGGTTGTTGATACATCACTCTCCTGGTGGTGGTAGTACTAATAGTAGTCATAGTAGTCGTAGTCCTCTCGCGGCACCAACGACCCATCTTGTTCTCAGCGGCAACTCACAAGACGTCTACTGACTTAGTACTGGCCATATTACGAGTCGTGAGCGGGAGACGAATTATTTGTTGAATCGTGCCCTTCATCGGGGTTCTATATTGTTCTAACGCATCATAACAATGGAAGGCATCTGCCTCTCGAGGCCGGCCCATCTATATATAGTCAATTAAAAGCACCATAAACAGGTATCCATGCTGTCTGTCTCGAGCGTCAAGCAGTCATGCTCGAGTTTTTAATGTTCAAGATCAACGGTTGGAAGGTAGGCAGGGGCTGTTGAAAAGAAGACAAGGGAAAAGACAAAGAGAAACAAAAAAGGTAGGAGAAACCCCCATGCTGGACTCTCGCTAATGGCTGAACGACCCCCCAGAATCCAAATGCCGAATGCATACCCGCTTCGTGACGCCCTCTAACAAATCGCCGCCACCACAGCATCACCTCTACGCCTGGAAAAAGAATGGCAGAAATATATATCAATAATCGCAGATGTTAAATGGAGATCAAGGGCGATTACGCGGAGACCCTGTCCCCGCTTCGAGAAAGACCACCAGTGCAGTATTAACAGACCCTCAATACTCTTGGGAGCACGAGCTATTGTTGAGCATCGAAATAGTTTCAATCACGTCGGCGGGTTCCAGGAGATGCCAGCTGGCGGCCGTTTGCTTCGAGCTTGCACCAACAGTGACCGAGTAGACGTGGTCTTGTGGCAGGTCGAATTTCTGTAGGGCACGGAACATGTCTGTGGATAACAGGGAATTATTAGCGAATGTAGAATAAGATGGAATAACGGGAGAGCACATAAGGTGGAAAAGAATTGAGAAATAAAGAGCTGAGAATGAAAAGGAAAGTAGCCTTACCTTCATCTGTGAAGTCGTCGCCGGAGCAAAAGATGAACTCAGGAGCCTGCCCAGGGCCGGTGCCGTACTCATTGACGAGGCGAGCCGCGATGAATCCCTTGTTAACGAACGTCGGCCGAACTTCCAGGTTGGCTTTCCCGGCCATGACTTCAACTTCCCATCTCTTCCCGACGGTGTCTTCAAGCTGCTTCCGGCATTCGCGAGCCTGGAACGCTCCATACTCCGGATCCGCACGGCGATAATGCCATGTCAGGGCCACGCGCTTTCTTTCGATGAAAGAGCCCTGTGTCCGTTCTGTGAAGTGCTGGAACGTATCCATGACCTCCTTCTGCCAGCCCATGTTACTCCGTTCGGCCAGATTCTCCCAGTCATCCGAGTGGGGCTTGCGAATGAAGCATCCGTGCTCTGCACTCAGTCCTAGCTCGGGGATGTGGCCCATCCACTCATCCAAGAAGGCTTGATCACGTCCACTGATGATCCAGACCGCATTTCGCGGGTCTGCGGCGAGGGTCTTGATAGTACGCAGCACCCGATCCGAGGGGATCGCAGCTTGCGGGTCTTTGACAATCGGAGTAAGTGTACCATCGTAGTCAAACATGAATAGTCTCTTCCGAGCCCGACGGTACTGCCGCACCAGCTTGGCCCGATCGAGGGCCGGCGTTGCCACGGATTGGTCAAATGACGAGAGGTTGGTGAGGAGACGAGTGACAAACTGTTTTGACCAGGACGAGACTGTGTTTGCAGTGACGTGCTTGTAAAGCTTCTGATGCTGTGACATCTTCTCTTCCGGAGACATGGTTAGGGCTTTGTTGATGGCTCCCGCCACGCCGACGGTATCCCATGGGTTGATATGAATGGCATTGGACAAAGTCCCCGCCGTACCAGAGAACTCGGAGAGGATCAAGGGGCCATAGTTATTCTGTTGGCAGATGATATACTCTAAGCTAGTCGTGTTCATGCCGTCGCGGACCGTGGTGATGAGTCCGACATCAGCGACACGCAGCAGCGCGAAGTACTCATGAGGGGAGAGGTACTGCGGGTAGTACTTGACGGGGGCAAAGCTCAACGATCCGAACCGGCCATTGATGGTAGAAACCAGATTAGAGACCTGACTGGCAATCTTGTTCTCTTCTTTCTGCTCGTCGACGCTGGTTGGGCTGGTTACCTGGATCAGGACCACCTTATCCCGCCATTCAGGGTACCGCTCGAGGAAGACCTCGAACGACTGCAGCTTCTGGGCCACACCGCGTACACTGTCCAGTCGATCACGGCCGACAATAATCTTCTTTCCGGCATAAAGCTTGCGAATACCCAAGACTGCCTTTTCTATCTCGGCAGACCCGAAGGCTGCCTTTTGAATCGTCTTGGTCTCGATACCTATCGGGAAGACATCCACTGCTACATGAGCACCGTAGGCATCCACCCCAGCCGAGTTGGAATCAAAGCCTAGGACACGTGTACAGCAAGATGAGAAGTGACGAGAGTATGAGAACGTCTGGAAGCCGATCATGTTGGCCCCCAGGACCCCCGTAAGCACCTCCTTGCGCTTGGCCAAGCAGCGCATGAACTCACTGCTGGGAAATGGCGCATGCAGGAAGAAACCAATGTAAATGTTGGGGATGCGTTGGCGCAGCATACTCGGGACCAGGAATAGGTGGTAGTCATGGATCCAGACAATATCTCCTTCCTTGTATTCTTGCGCAATGCGGTCGGCGAAGAGACGATTCATGCGGACGTAGTCTGCCCACCACTTACGTTCCGATTTGCCGTCCGTGGGACCGTGCTGTTTGTAATGAAGGAGTGGGTAGAGCTCGCGCTCGGCATAACGCCTCCACCGACCCTGGTCGTCCAAGAAGACCGTGTCATCTGGATGTTCCGATTCACCGGTCAACCAGACCGGCACGATCTTACCGTAGCGGCTGGAGCTCAGCTGCTGATCGAGCCTTTCTCGGTCCTCCAGGTCCACTTCGAAGCCGTCAAGGAGAGGATGACTGGGTAGGCGTTGGCTGGCATCCACAGGCACCGGTGCGGCAGCTTTATTGAGGGGCAAGGCCGAACCGTTGAGGGTGGTCGGCACCTTGGCACTTGTGTTGATGGGAATCTGTTGCAAAGGAATCGCTGTCTCCTGGACCGGCTCGACCTCGCCGGTCCAGCCAACGAGGGTGTGGGACCATCTCGATTCATTAGAACCAAGATAGGCCATTGAATCAAATAGAGCGGAGGTTCCCGGACGGGGTTTCAGCTCCTACAATCCCGTTCGATCAGCTAAGTCCTCTTACTGATTTCCCCCCCTCAAAATACGAGTGATCTGGTGGGGGAAGTGACTTACCCAGTCGGACCCGGGATGGAGATAGAGCTTATAGGGGATACAGAATGCAGCACTGATCACTCGGCCGGTAAGACGCAGGCTGGGGTATTGTTCGCGGGGGTCGGCGTCCAGCATGATGGGAGATTCTATCAGGCTCAAGCGGCGCAACAATTCAGGACCCGATTTGGCGTCCTTGACAGCCTGGGAGGGAGTGATGGGGGAAGCGACAGCTGGAGGGACGGAAGAAGCGTGGTTCCCCGGGGTATCAGAAAAGTAGGAAGGGGCATCGGGGAGGGTGGAGGGCTGGGTCTGTTCACCCCGCAGATCCGGGGTGGCATTTGAGGCATTCACAAACGCATCTTCGCCCAGAACATTCAGGCCAGAGCCAATGGGGCCCGGATTGGGCTGGCCATCGGGCATGGCGGCAGACCGTTGTTCGGCGGCCATGACGAAAACGGACGCGGCGGAGCGAGGAATCACAGTCAGTCAGTCAATGACAGGCAGAACGGGAACCAATCTGCAGTCAATCTGGGAGGTAGCGCAATCAGTTAGTTGCAAACCATGAAATATTAGGGGCAGAAATCTGGTGAACTTTGATATTCCGGTGATAAGAAGAAGAATAACAATGGCAACGATGGGCAAGACTGTGTTGGGTTTGGGGGAGGGGTGTAAAAGGGAAAGGGCAAAAAGCGTTGAAAGTACCTTTTTTTTTTTTTTTTTTAGTTTGGGGGTGAAAAGGGAAGTGTAGATTAGGGAGGGAGGGGGGGAGGAGGGAGATAAGCTGGAGTACCTGGGAATGAATTGGTATGTATGGAGAGAGAGAAAGAGGGTGTTTGGTGGGGTTGCCAACAGAGAAGAGAGCGGGCCAGAAGAGAGAAGGCGGACTAGGCCATTGGGGGGATGGAGGAGGGGGGAGCAAAGGAACTAGTGAATGGTACTGTAAGGAAAGATGAACGATGGCACAATGATCAATTCCCTCCGTCAGAAAAGAGAAAGAATGGGGGTTAACAAGAGTGTGACGATGAGAAGAGGGAAGGGAAGGAGGGAGAAGTTGGTTTAGTGGGTAAGAGATTCAATTATGATGTGAGAGCAAGAGACAAGACGCAAGTGGGGGGGAGGGAGGGAGAAGAGACGGAGAGAGAGAGAGAGAGAGAGAGAGAGAGAGAGAGACACACAGAAAGCAGGGCAGAGAGCAGCAGCAGCAGCCACCATTTACCACCACCAAGCAGGGAGGCGGTGAAGCGGGAACATGGAAAGATAGTACTATGATAAGAAAGAGCTATTTGTACTCACCTCCAAGAAGAAACGATAACTATGGTAGTTAATCGTGAAAAATTGATGAAAAGCGCAAGTGATCTATCACTGGATATGTATAGTCCCACTGATTTAGGAGGGACTCGGGGATGTCGGCAAGGAAAATATCTCAGAAGTCAGAAAACCCCCGAAGTTCTAGTAGCGTTCTTTCCAACAGACTTGCTGGAACTTGATCCCAACTTCCCCCAGAACAATCCCGGAATAGCAAGCCAATCACCCCCAATCGGACAATCAAGCAACTTAATGCAGGCAAAGCAAGCCAACTACCAAAGCAGTCGTATCAGCTGGTCGGCGGTCTGTCGGCAGGGTTTGCTTATAAAACAACCAATCCCTCATGCACGGGTTCAGGTAGAAGGACGCCGAAGGGGGAAGAGAGGCAGCGAAGGGATCGAGGGGAGGGATGGGCCTAGGATGGTCCAGACTCGGCGGCGAGGGCTGATGGAAGGAAAAAGAAGGCGTATAGCGGGTGGGGATTATAGGGGGGAAAGAAAAGGAAGAAGAAGTTGTTGATGATTATTGAAACCGAACAAGGTCAGGGAAACCGGTTCCGTGTCTGTGGTGGGTTTGGTCTGCCATGGAGGGAAGTAGTAGTAAGAGTAAAAAAAAAAAAAACTAATAATGGACCATGATGGCAATGATGATGATGATGATGATGATGTTTTTGGTGAGAATAATAGCAAGCAATGGATTGGGTCCCCGCCATCTCCATAACAGTAGTAGTAACCCAGATATTTCTTTTTTCTCAGATACGTCATGATCCCCCAAACGGCAGTTCGGACGAACAGGAGGAAAAATGGTCCACCTGTTATTCGCCCCCCTCCCCAATCTACTCCAACTAATTCTACTACTATTTTGTACCACTAGAAAAAATACTACCACTCTTACAGAACACAACACATAATATCTCATCGATATTTCTTTCGGTAATTGTAGATTAAGGCAGGTCAGGTTAACACGAGCAGGTACAGTAGTCAGTTGGCAGACTAGACAATAACCCGGGAAGTTGGGCCCAGGGAATAGCAACAGTGCCTAACCGAACCTAAATCATCTAGTCCTTCTACAGGAGTGTCTAACTCATTAGGTAGCGTGTCTTGCATCGGCCGAAACCAAGAGCAAAGCGCGCAAGAGTGTTCAGGCATGTGGGAGAAGATGCCGGATGAAACTTGCCCGATCCTTGAACTAGCCCATCGAGATTGGTCCAGGTCATGGGATGTGATTGCCTGTCATTACGCCCGTTGAATCCACTGGTAAAATTGGGTTATATGCAAAGGACTAAAGGTAAAAATAGAAGCTAAGATCGGGAAACAAGAAGAAGAAGAGGGCAAAGAATGGTTGAAGTCTACAGTGGCTCAGTGAGATCCGATTTGCAGATTTGAGATCGCCATTTCCCCGACAGGGGGGGGAGTGTGACATGTGAAGACCTAACTAACCATAACCAGTCGATCAATGCTAGGGCTGGCCAGATCACGGCCCGCAGTCACGTGGGAATCACAGCACCTGACAGTACTATCCTTATTCGGGTAACTCATCACTAGTTCCTGTTAGTCTATCCGATACTTGCGACATTATCATCATTATTCATTCCCTGCCTCGACTTCTAGCCTCGCTTCTTCGTCTTCCTCGAAACATCCCAGCATCCCGTCCGAGATCACCCGCCCTCCTTACCCTTCATTCATTCCTATCGACTCGGTTTGTCCGGAACTCTGCGCCAGCCAGTCCCAAGCATACCCCCCCCCCCCCCCCGGTATACTTTCCTTTCCTCCGGTTTATGCCCCCGGTTGCAACACTTCCTTCGCAATGCCTCCATTGCCCTGCTGAACGCGCGGTCATGCGCGTTCTTTGCTCCTCTAATCGATATCTCCTCTCCTCCTCTTCCTCGTCTGTTGCTGCTTATTTGGCCCCCTTAATATCCTCTCCGCTGAAGCCGCGATACTTCCACCAAACCCGCTCGGCTCTCAAGAACCCGGCAATCTTCAAAAATAGTCTACAAAAAACCCTCGAAGCACACCGTTCCTCGAATCGAGCTAGTTTAATTCGCAGGATACCGAATAAACCAGGTGATTCTGAACAGTCACCTGCGGAGGTTGCAACAAGCGATGGGCCATCGAACGGTTCCAACACAGATGTAACTTTGGGGTCTTCCTCGACCCCAAAAAGCCCAAGGAGGAAACCTCGCTCCATTCAGAAGTCCCACCCGCCATCCCGGCCTTCATACGCAAGCCAGCTGATACATTGGGATGCTGACCCTAAAAAGGGCCGGTCAGTTCAATGTCCATGGCTGGGTGGAGTGGATTCAACTCGGTCCTTCAGTGACGGCCTCTCCCAGCTAGATGCGGAGATCAAGGCACTTGAAAAATACCTCAGTCCGACCCCACCTGAGCAGGAGAGGGTTCATCGGATAACCGCACATATAGCTGGTCTTCTGGAAGGGACTGCCCCCCGTGCCCCCTGTATCATCGGATCATGGCGAACCGGGCTAGCCATGAGCCACTCCAATCTGGACCTTCTCCTCCCCGTCCCAGACTTGATACGATCCACCGAACAGGTTCGAAAACCAAGCGCCACGCGTCCGCAGATCCTCACTCAGCACAAGCGTCTGCTCCGAGATGTTGAACGGACCCTCCAGGACTTCCAATCCTTCAACATCATCTACCCATCCACCGCCGTCCATCACGAGACGGGTCTTCGCGTACGCTTCTCCTGCGGAGAAGACATCCCCCCCATGGTCGAGTACATTCAAGACTACTGTGCCGAGTACCCCTCCGTCCGACCTCTCTACATGGCCGCGCGACTTCTCCTCGAATCTCAAGGCCTATGTGGCCATGGCCCGAGATCCCTTAAACCCGAAGCCCTAGTCATGCTCATCGTAGCATTCCTAAAGCTGAATCACGGCAAGTTCCAACGTTCTGACGGTTTGGGCGAGCGCCTTCTCGCCTTTCTCCAAATGTATGGCACCGAAGTCGATCTCACGATGACCGGAATCGCCGTCGATCCTCCGGGTACCTTTGATGCGGATACTGTCCGCTCCGCCAGCCGGATGTTCTCCAGTCAGCCGGACGAGATCCCCGCCCATTTGCGCGGTCAGCGAGCCATCATCAATATGAAGAAAACCGCCGCGTCCATGGGCAACACAGCCGCGGCTACACGGCTATGTCTGCAGAATCCTACTAATTATTTGGATGACCTGGGCCGTTCTTGTCTGGATACTCCACAACTGCGGGCGGCGTTTGCGCGCGCTCATGAGCGTCTTCGTACCGCTCTCGATCACTGGGATCAGTGCGCGCCTGTAACTCTCGATCACGGTCTGCTGAACTCGATCCTGCAGGTGAACTTTGACGAATTCAGTCAAATGCGCGATCGGCTTACTGCCGGGACGGTCGATTCCACGTGACGTATCGCGGACGCAAATCCTGTGTTCACTAATGAGCTACCTCTACTTTTTCGATCGCAATCAAGCATGTACTATAGCCCCTTGTATGGGAAACATCTCTATGTATATACACTCTTCCCTCAAAAAGATTAATTAACATCCAAATCTATTAGACAGTGCCCGGTGCTGCCGACATACGTGCAAGGACACCAGGATGCGTGGTAAGGTATCAGTGACATGATGACATGGAGAGAATTAAACGCCTGAATGTAGAAAACGCCCGCTTGATATGCAGTGAGCTGAAAACCACCAGCCACCCAAACATTACACGGGATGACCTCAAATGATGGTGTAGGGGTTGGAGAAGTAGCTGTGAAAATCGTAGAAGAGGCGTCGGTCCAAGATGGAAAAGGTGGATCAGCCAAGTGTGAAACAATATAGTATTAAGTTGTACATTGAGTGGACACACGTCGACATCGATTCAGTTGCTGCTCCGTGGTTAGCATTTGATGCGTTTGTGTCCCATTCCGGGCTCGGACTTACTAGATTTCCAGCGGAGAGATCTGATCCAGCGTGTAAAGCCAATTTCCGCCTTGTTCTTCCTTTTCGAGCCTATGTGAGTGGAAAAGTCAGTAGGCTGCAACGGGATATCAAAGATGCAAGCACAGCGAATCCCTTACCAGTCGTAGGGCCACAGAATCAAATGTCCCTGTACGTGATTCAAGAGCTCTTCGGCTCGCTGTTTGTCCATCACCTCATCTGTCGCGTGAAACTCCCGCTTTGATCCGAGCGTCGTCGCCCTTCGTCGGCGTCGTCGAGACTGACCGGTGGCATTCCGATTCAAAGCCTCGGAATAATCCACGAGCGGCGGTTCAGATCGCTGCTTCTCCAGATCTTCACCAGAAGAGCCACTTTCCTCATGTCGTCCATTTGGCATGTGCCCCGTCGCCGTCCCATCTGCTCCTTTCATCGTCGATTTCTCATTTATTGGCAAAGGCCCGTCAGAAGTTCCGTGTTCGGCATGTTGCGTGTCCGGCTTTTGACCGGCTTCTGTCGAACGAGCATTATTCTTTTCGACAGGTGAATCTTTGGCCTCCACTTTAGCTCCCTCGGCACTCTG